AGTAACATAAATGAAAGCATAAATAAATGTCTCCTAGACCTCCTTTCTTTCTCTCTGCCCATTGCCTTAATTTCTTTCTTAAGGGATAATAAAAGTGTATAAATTTTGGTAGGGTAAAATTAAAAGACATGGGAAAAAGAACAGAGAAAATGCTCTGAAATCAGACACTCAAGTTCACATCCGTGGTTCTGTAATTATGACGTGGGTCCTGAAACGAATTACTTTTTAACCTTCAGTTTTTCACTGGTAAGGCTGGAGTTAATAACTCAAATTTGTTATGAATATTAATTTAATGCTTATAGAGTGATGACATAGAGCATGGCACATAATGTATACTCAGAAAAGGCATATAAGTCCTTAGAAAATTTGGCTAAAATGAACTTCAGAAATGGTGGAGAAGAGAACTTTATGAAGACTGGATGGGTATCAGTAGAGCCCCTTGGAGTTGATATTTATAGGGAGCAAAGGGAAGTGTATGATGCTGGTCAATTATATTTTATTGAATTGGTTCTCTTGTCACCATCCCATCCCCTTCTCCCTATTTCATTGTGTCACAGTAGTTTGAACTGCTTTGTGCCCTAAAACCCACAGTCCAGACATTTTCAGCAAATTTCTGGACAATGCTCCTGCATGGATAAATAATAAGTCACCAGTTCTTATTGTGAGCTGCTCCAACACTTATCGAAGTGTGGCATGCCATGACCTGGCTCTGTTTAGCCCCGGAGGTACCTGGGTCTAACCTGCCAAGAGCTGAGTAGACTGCCAAGAGTCAGGCAGCGGAGTTGAGGCTGGAGAGAGCAGAGATAAAATGAAGTAAGAGTGGGGATAGAATCTAGGCCAGGGTTAAGACTGGTCACTGGCAAGAGTCCATCACGAAGAGACCAGGTAGTAAGTGAGAGAATAGGTAGGTATCAGGGGCCCCAGGCAGATACTGAGACTAGGAGATCCCGGGAAGAAAGGAGCACTGGAGGTTGGATGTGAGTCAGTTGCTGAAGAGACTGAAGTCCAGGCCAGGATCCATGAAAGCTCCTGCCATCCGACTCTAGAAAGTCTGGCTAAGTGACATGGCCCTTTAGTCCATATCAACTTTTTTTTTAATCTGTTAGAACTCCTTCTTCTCCTCTCCCAGTGTACAAATCTGGAATCTGGTGGTCCTCTGTGCCTCAAAGTGGTGCCTCTCAATCTTGAATGTGCACAGGAATCACCTATGCTACGATGCAGATTCTAATTCAGCAGATCTGGGTCTGGCTCAACGGTCTGCATTTCTAACACCCTTCCAGGGAATGCAGACACTGCAGGCCCAGGGACCACATTTTAAGCGGCAAAGCTTTAAAAGACTGTTGCTGTTTGGTCTTGCTAAATCCACGGGTCTTCTGTTTTGTTTCATGTCAGGGCTACTTCCTCAGGGCAAAGCTGAGAAGAACATTGCCAGCTGGTTCAGAACTGAGCCCCCGTAGCTGGACTTTTGATAAAACTGGAGCCCTGACAGCTCTCATCTTTTTTTTCTTCTGTGACAAAGCAGATCCTCACTGAATTTAATATTGGTAACAAAACCATACTGAAGGCCTGGACAATTCAATTGTCTCTGATGCAATTGGTTTTCCTGGGCAGAAATGTTGCCCCTGAATGCTAATCCATTGCTCTGACAGGAGCTATCCTCTGCCTGGTCAGGGGCCTCGTGAGAAGCCAGGAGGGCCTTGACCTTAAAAAATTCCCGATAGTTGTTGTTGTTTTTTTTCAGGTAAAATATCAAATTTGTCAATTTATGTCCATTTTTCTCAAAGGGAACCTTTTCCCGAAACCTTTGTTTTTATTCTGCTATTGTTTTTGAATGATATAAAATAAGGGTAGATCCCTGTTCCTAAGAATAGGGGCCTAGTTGCAAACCTTTGAATATAATTATTCTATAGTGGCAATAGCTTCCCAAGTACCCTGACATTTCCCAGGAGGGAAAATGAGCAGTGAAGACAGAGGTGAATCCCCATGTGGGTCATAGCCCTGGTTTTAAGGCTCCTGAGTTCCCCCCTCCCTGATCACATCTCCCAAAACCCTCCTCCCAGGCATCATAACTCTTCATGCATTTCTCTGTGATTGCACCCCTACATAATATAAAATTAGAGTATTATGTTACGTGTTTCAAAGCTTTCTATAAGTACCATCATCCCTTCCCCGCCATCCTTCAGCTCCTCCTCACTCTTTCTCCTCTTTTTCTCTATACTTGGTTTGTGGGGTTAATCAATGTTGCTATGTGAGATGACAATCCATTTTATATAGAATGAATATACAGCAATATATTTATCTACTTTCTTATTGCTGAGCATTTAGCCTGTTTTCAATATTTTATTATTAGAAGTTGAGTTGCTGTGAACCTCCTTCTGTGTCTTGGTATGTGTTTGCAAGAATTTCTCTAGAATATAGCTTAGAAGTGGAATTGCTGTTCAACTTTACTCGATATTACAAAATTATTTTCCATTGAGGTTGGAACACCACAGCGCATAAAAGTTTATATTGCTCTAAAATCCTCAATATTTGAGGTTTTGAGACTTCAAAATTTTTACTTATTGATGGTTATACACTTACATATCATTTGGTTTTAATTTGTATTTCCATGATAACTAGTGAAGTTGAGGCTCTCTTAAATCGTTTCTTGGCAATCTGTGTTTGATATTTTTGAAGTACCTGTTTATATATTTTGATAGGCTTTTTTTCCATTGGGTTGTTTTGCTAACATTTTAAATATATTCTGGAGACTGAATCTTTATCAGTTATGCTTATTACACACATTATTTCCTTTTTCTGCTTGTTTTAGGTTTAATTTGCTCTTTTTCTAGTTATATGATGAAAGCTTAGATCATTGATTTGAGATCTTTTCTAATATAAGCATTAATATAAACTTTCCTCCAGGTATCTTTTAATTTGTAGGGCAGGTATTTCATTCTGATTCAAATATGTGCATATATGTATATATCCTATGAGTAACCTCTGAATATGTAAAATTATTTAGAACTGTATTGTTTAATTTTCAAATATTTGTGGATTTTCCAGATTTTTTTTTTGATTTCTAGTTTAATTTTATTATGGTCAGAAAATATACTTGTTTTTATTTTGATTCTTTTAAATTTGTTAAGGTTTATTTTAGAGTTAAGATATAATCTTAATGAATTGTTCATGTATATTTCAAAAAAAAATCAGTATTTTGTTGTTGTGGGATGAATTGTGTTAAAATGTCAATTAGGTCAAGTTGTTGGCAGTATTGTTCAGTCTTCTATATCTTCACTGTTATTCTGCCTACTTTTTTTCTCCATTACTGAGAGAAAATGTATAACATTGTGGATTTGATTTCTCCTTTCAGATTTGTATGTATGGCTCCATTCTCTATAAAATTGAAGTTATTTTTCAGATAGTGAATAGCTTTGAATGGATTATGTTATGCGTAAAATTGGACCATGTTAACAAGTCCTTTTAGGCATCTCACTTTAATCCTCTCCACTCACCTCCAAATTACACACACCCACACATAGAGTTTACATTATTTTATTAATTATTCACCATTAGTGTGCAGAGTTGGGATTTTGTTAGGATTCATTCATATTACCTTATGTAGGTCTCCTTTTCAATTTTTAAGGTGACTGATCAGAATTGAGGGTTGAGTCTTTGGTCAAGAAATATAGTAAAGTTAACCAACTCCTGTATCTAAGTCCTATACATAGCAGTCTTCCACAGATATCACCCCCACTAATGCTCATGCATTTGTCATAGGTACTGAAGAGAATGTGGTTCAGTGACTACATGCCCTTATCAGAAAGACTATTAAATTTAAATAGTCAAAAATAAATTAGAAAGCATTGTATTAATTCAAAATACAATCTTCAAATTGACAGAATATGGTGCAATGGCCCTTTACCCCAACAAGTATTCCCCGTTATATCTTTAGCAGCAAATGTGTATTTATCTGCAACTTTATTGTATTATTTTCTAAAGATTCAAGATGCTTTCTGGATTTAATTTTTGCCAGATGATCTTAAAAACTAGAGCTGAATTATAAATTAAGTTGCTTTGTTAAGAACAACAAAGAGTAAGGCTGTGCATTTGTGTAGTTGGAGACTAAATTAGTATTCCAAACCCAAACTCTATTGCTGCAATCTCATTAAACAGCATTGGGTAGACATTTAAAGATTTTATACATTTTAATTCAACTGGTCACTTGGTTTAAAACTACATTGATTTTTTTCTATTTAATTTTTGGTCATGTATATCATGCTAGATATCAAAATGAATTTGAAACTTGGAGGCTGTCTGTATTAACAGGGTATTAAGTTCTTGGAAAGGTTCCTTTCCCCATGCTAATTTTTATCACTTTGCTATTGCTTTCATTTCCCCTTGAGCTTCAGCTTTTAAGGATTATTATTCATTCTTTTCAACATCTACCTCGATCATTAAACAATTACACCTTTATCAGGCAGAGCAGCAAGAGACTCTGTGGATAATGATGAGGTTGGAAACTCCCCTGCACAACCTGTTGGCTCATCTTGGAAGAAGAATGTCATGCCAAATTATCTTTATGTGTTCATGAATAATGTTCTAACAAGGATGGTTGGAGAGATGAGTATAAAGGGCAGTTCTAATGGAAAGAATGAAAGTAATATTCACTTTGGCGAAACATTATAATTCCTCGACAAGATGCTGTCTGTCCTTGCTGCTAAATTAGGTGCATTTAAGTTAGCATCCCCTGTAGCTATCTGCTATTTTGCAGAATGAACTAAAAGAGAAAGAATATACCTTTCAGGATTTAGAACTCCCTCAGATGACCATAACATAATTGCAGGAAAAATACTCATTTAACCCAGAGTTCTTAGTATATTAACCGGGTGTATTGGTCTTGAATGTAGAAGTGGTATAGGCAGGCAGGTAGTTATAGTCTCTACCCACCTTTAATTCTTAGCTTTAGACTGCACTCTAGAGTAACTGATATTTTTGCTGTTGATGTTTCCTCAATGCAGAATTTCAGAGTGGGATATCAGGTCCTTAGTGTGAAGATACGTCGATACTAAACCAGGAATCATTGGCAGTGACATTTGGACACGAAATATTAGAAAACTAAAAAGTAAGCAACTGTGAAGGTTGATCATGGAAATCAAAGAGGAAGGCACATCAGAAGAAGGCCAGCACTTCCTTCCCACACCCCAGGCAAATGAGAGTGGGGACTTTCACTTGACAAGTAAGTATGTGTGTGACCCTTCTTGGAACTCTGACAAACACGCAGAAACTGGGGTTCTAACAAATGGCATGAGATTAACAACATGTTTTCCCTTTGCACTGCTTCTTTTGTTGTGAGTCTATGAAATGCTTCTAATCTTCTATCATCTTTTATGAGATAGATGATAGTCCATGAAGCTGTTAAATATCAAATGGTAGAATCAAAGTTGCTGAATGTGTATTAAGACACTAACTAATACTTCTTAAGCACCCCTTCTATTTAGCATTTTTATAATCTCATGTGGAATTATTTTTTGGAACATAGACATTTTCCCTTTAACACCAAGGACTAAGTGGAAAGCTTTAGGGTGAAATGGCTGCACTACTGTCACTGCCCTACCTGAGAGCACCAAGTCCCATAGAGAGCAAGCTTGGAGACTTGGGCAAGATTTACATATGAACATTACAATCAGGATTTGTGCTACTCACATAATTAAAATTGTTGGAAGAATTATATGTTTTTCTCCCATGTTCAAAATTCTAGGGTTCAGGTTTTATTGTTTAGCATGAATTGTGTCCTTTCTTTACTTTTCAGAAGATTCTTGTTGCCCAGTTATTAACACTGGCAAACATATGCCTAACCTCTCATTTAATTTACATTATAAAAATAATCCTTAGAAAATGGTATTGGTTGGATGCATTTTTTGAGAAATTTGGTTGTCAGAGCTTATAGCAGAGTTAATTGTTAATAACCTTTTTAAAAATCTACACTATTCAAAATGCACAAAGGCCTACCTAATGATTGTCACTTTAACCTCTCTTGGAAAATCTAAAATTGTTAACCATAGCATTGTTAAATGTCAGCAGGAAAAAAATAAAATGGTTACCATGCAAAACCTGTGAACTCTATAAATAAAAAATGGATGATTTTTATACAGAGAGGTGGTTCTAACAATATATTAGTGACCAGATGCTATTAAATTTAAATAGTATCTGGTGAGTCCACAAGTAAAAATAAAGAAGGAAAGGATTTGCATAATATTCTTACATTACTGCCAAATGGTTTACTTGTCCATAATTTAGTTTTGCCTCTTTGGCCACCATGAGAGCTAACAAATGGCATCCCAGGCCTCATCCACTCTTGTACTGTGTGCGGTCTTCAGGCATTCACCTGCCATTCTCACTTATCACAGCCTGGTCTTTCTACCTTTAGTCATTAGATGTTCCCATTTCCTTACCTTTGTCCTCAGACTTACTTTCCCTTCTACTGCATCTTAAATCATTGAGCCATGTTATTAGATTAAAAAAAAAAAACTCCAACAAGAGAAATAGAGGCATTTAATGGAATGTTGATTTGAGCTATCAATAAGCTAGCAGCATAATATCCTTCATAACCTATCTAGAGATATCCTTTTAATTAGTAATTCACTGTGTATAGCAGGTTGGAGTGGTTTGAAAGAAAACTCTATATGGAAGAGTGCTTTGGAGAGGTTGTCCTTTTTTGAAAGTTCCGTCTCTATCTCCATGCATTTAAAAGAAACAGACACAGTGGGAAATGTTTTATATTTGTCACAGCTTATAATATTTGAGATTCTTAATGGCTATGGAGCTAAGTAGCTCAGTCAAATTTTTAGTTATATCTAGTTCTGTTACAAATATTATGTCTTCCCCTGAGAACCCACTGCTTATAAACCTGATCAATTGACTTTCTTTATTCTGCCAAATAATATACTAATATATTCCGGGCATGGTGAAACATAGTAATATTCAATGACATATTTTTGATAATGACTTAAATATCTTTAATCTGAATTCTTACCTATTATTTATAGGTATTCAGAAGACGCCAAATGAACCGCAGTTGGAATTTATCCTTGGTAAGAAACTCCATCTTATTTTTATCGATAAAAATAATAATTTGTATATAAAGTTTGCAAGTTGTAGGTACATTACTTATATCCTTATATATTTTATAATCTTTTATGAACAATGTTCTATAAGGTAAATGCTATTTTCTCTCTTCTTACATAAAGAATCTGAGCTGAGGACTAGGTCACTTTACTCCCCCAAGAACATAGGGTTCAGTGATGACAAAGTTGGGCCTTTCAACCAAGTCTGGCAACCACAAATATGGTGCCCAGAACTCACTCTCATGCAGTGACTGGGTTTTGTTGCTAATCAACATGTCTGGAAATCTGTGTGTCTACTTATTTACTCTGTTGGCTGGAAACTGACCTAATGTGGAGTTTTTCTTTGTTTTCCTTTATGCTCCTTTCAGTCTCACTTACCCAAAAATACCTCCTTATTCTTCCGATCTTGAAAATGGGATGATGCTTTTATTTTGAGGCATAATTTATTGAGAAAATAACTATTTATAGTTTTTATTTTAATAGTTTGTTTGTCCGTTCTAATAGGCTTAATTTTTAGAGCAGTTTTGGGTTCACTACAAAATTTAGTAAAAGGTGTAGAGATTTCTCATTTACTCCCTACCTCCACAAATGCATAGCCTCCCTCATTTTCAATATCCCTTGCCAGAGTGGTACATTTGTATGGTTGATGCACCTACTATGACACATCATCATCACCCAAAGTCCATAGGTTACATTAGGATTCTCTTTTGGTATTGCACATTCTATGGGTTTCCATTATTATAGTATCATATAGAGCAGTGGTCAGCAAACTCATTAGTCAACAGAGCCAAATATCAACAGTACAGTGATTGAAATTTCTTTTGAGAGCCAAATTTTTTAAACTGAAACTATATAGGTAGGTACATTGTTATTAACTTAATTAGGGTACTCCTAAGGCTTAGGAAGAGCCACACTCAAGGGGCCAAAGAGCCGCATGTGGCTCGCAAGCCGCAGTTTGCCGACCACGGATATAGAGGATTTTCACTGCCCTAAAAATCCTCTGGGCTCCACCTATTCATCCATCCCTCCCCTAAACCCTGGCAACCACTAATCTTTTTACTGTCTTCATAGTTTTGCCTTTTTCAGAAGGTAAGATAGTTGGAATCATAAAGTATATCGCCCTTTCAGATTGCCTTCTTTCACTGAATTAAATTGCTGTTAAATTTTCTCTATATATTCTCACTAGAGGCCCGGTGCATGAAATTCGTGCTCGGGTACGGTCTCTAGGCTTGGCCTGTGATTAGGGCCATCTTCCCCAGCTGCCTGCAGCCAGCCCCACCCCCCACCCCCTGTTTCCTGTTTACCATCAGGTGAATCAGTGCCAGACGGCCAGGGGAAGGGACCGAGAGGTCAGCTGTTCCCGCCCACTCGCCGACCCCACCCCTGCTGTGGGTGGCCATCAGGCAATTGGAGCCTGCCAGCTGGGGAAAGGGACCAAGAGGTGGTCAGTGCGCCTCATAGTGACTGGTCCAGTAGTCGTTCTGGTCGTTCTGCTGTTAGGGCCAATTTGCATATTACCCTTTTATTATATAGGATGGCTTGGTAGCTTATTTCTTTTAGCACTGAATAATAGTCCATTTTCTGGATGTACCACAGTTTATTTATCCATTTACCTACTGAAGGACATCTTGGTTTCTTCCCAGTTTTGGCAACTATGAATAAAAGTTCTATAAATATCTTGTGCAAGTTTCTGTGTAGACATAACTTTTCAACACCTTTGTGCAAATACCAAGGAGCTCAATTAGTGGATCAAATGGTAAGAATATATTTAAGTTTTGTAAGAAATTGTCAAGCTGTCTTCCAAAGTGGCTGTCCCATTTTGCATTCCCAGTGATGTGTAAGAGTTCCTGTTGCTCCACAGCCTCACCTGAATTTATTGTTATCAGTATTTCTGACTTTGGTATAATTTCTTTTTTTAACATTTCATTTTTATTACATATATAGCTAAAAGGTGCTGTAAGTTAAGGATTCTAGATTTTTTTTTCTCAAGTATTGAGAAACAGAAATGTGAAAACTCAAGAAACATCTGTGGTAATACCAATAAAGTTATACGTGTTTTTTTTTTTTCCTGGAGTTCTCAGATGTAGAACCAATTCATTTTCAGAAAGGGAGCTGAGGAGCAAAATAGGCCTAAGCACCTCTTGACTCACTAACAATAACTATTACTACTTGAGCCTTCATCTAGCCATATTTTATTTTGAATGAAAAAATAATTATTTTACATTTTTGACAGGACTTCTGAAAAGTAAAAATTTGTTTGAATTATTTGGTGTATTTCAAAACACAGATATAAGCCTTCTTATTTGCATCTTGGAGAACAGGGATAATCTGAAGCGGACAGAAGCAGTTGGGGTAGAGGAGGTTCAGTAAACCTGGTGGCCAACTTTGAAGAGACAGCATGTCTGGGCCAATACCTGTTTTCTGTTTGAATTTAAGTGATCTGTCTTGTTCAGAGACCTAACTGTGCTGTTTTTTTGAAAGTCCAGTCAAGTTCAGTAGCAATGCTGTTGTCACTTAAATTTCTGGCTTTGGATCATAGATCTAAAAGAAGAGCAGCTGCAGGAAATGATTCATAATGATAGACCTCCCATTTAAAAAAATTCAAATATCTTTTTTTATGTTTATTTAAAAAGTACACTAGATTTCTTAACAATAGATGATTTTATCTTATCACAGGGCAAGAAATGCCTGACGATTAAACAAAAGAAAGATATTTAGAGTCTTCAGGGAATTGAATTGTTGATCTTGAAAGATAAATTCCCCAAACTCTTTGTTATGTCTCTTAGCATGTTAAGATCCTCGACTTTTTTATTTCTTAAAAAAAGAGACTTAAACTACTCTTTCAAGGATACTATATTTTTTAGTGTATATTTTTATCACTTTTTTCTTTGTTTTCTTAATCCCACAATTCTTCAACACTTCACTTGTTACTTAGTTAACTTCATAAGGAATAATGAGAGTAATATTTTCTTAAATATTTTTATCATTGTTGAAGAATGTGCATATTTATTTAATTAGAAATCATAGTGTCTTAAAACAAAAATAAAAAATTTTAACAAAAAATAGGATAAACAAGGTAGGGAGCTTTTTCCACTTAATTTTTCAACTAAATTTTGATATTTGATTCTTGAGTATTCAAATAAATTGAGAATTCCAATGGCTTTGCATTTTTACATTTAGAAACAGCTGCACTGATTTTGTTAGGTGTCTATTGCTTTGAATAAGTTATTTTCTGTGGAGGATTTGTTTCTTCCTTGTCTGTATGCCACTATAAAATCACTATATCTTGCTGAAGTTCCCCTGCTACATCTTTATTTAGCTAAATGAGGTAGGAGATGCTTAGTCAATTGAGCAAGCTAATTGACTAAAAATATCTTGCTATCACAAAATAAGCATGTACTGAAAAAATGAGTATCTCATGTCCATTGTTAACTGTATATCTCATGGTTGGCTGCCTTTAAATTAAATAATTCACTCTTACAACTGCAAATCTGCTTCCACATTTCTTTCATTGTTTCATTTGAGTGTATTGAAACCATTTTTATTTTCACAAAGGGAGAAATAATTAAAAACCCTGGAGAATGCTTATTTTGTTTATGGTTTAATAAAATTGTTTTCATTTCAACAAAGCTGGCATTTAAGAAGAGTGATCATTTCTTAAAATCTGGGTACATTTATTCTCTTGAATCCATTGTTGAAAATGTATAGAGAAGACTAATATTGACAATGAGATAAAATAAATTTCTATGAACTATTTTGTAAGTTCATCCCAGAGTCAATAGAAAGCTTATAAAAATGTGTTTCATATTTTATATGGACATCATATAGGTCATAAATTCAAAACAATAAGTCTAATGTGTTCAATGGTTAAAATTCAGTTTTATCACAGCATGCCAATGACAAGATGTCCTTAGGTAGGTTACTTCGGATATTAGAGTGGCTTTAGTAAGGAGAGGTTATCCTCTGTGGTTGGTAAGGCTTTGTCCAGGAAAACACTGATTCCAAATGCTCTATTCTCCTCTTGGATCGCATATTAGATTATGTGTACTAATTTTGGATTTTTTTTAAAAATATATTTTATTGATTTTTTACAGAGAGGAAAGGAGAGGGATAGAGAGTTAGAAACATCGATGAGAGAGAAACATCGACCAGCTGCCTCCTGCACACTCCCACTGGGGATGTGCCCGCAACCAAGGTACATGCCCTTGACCGGAATCGAACCCGGGACCCCTCAGTCCACAGGCTGATGCTCTATCCACTGAGCCAAACCGGTTTGGCTAATTTTGGATTTTGGATATAGAGCCTTTTTATTTCTAAAAGCCCAGTTAGAAACAAAATCATGTCAATGATGTGATCAGTTTTCTGTCTTCAGAATTTGAAAATGTGTATAGAAATATGCCCGAATTGATAAGCACCACCGTACAGTCTCATCTCTTTATAGACACAGCTTTTATAGCTCGCTAGTGCCTTCATTAACCTACATGTCATGTCCATTTATACTTTATGAATTGCTGTAAATCAGTCATAGTTTTATATGTTTCTCTGAAAGAGAAAATCTTAAGAGGCCAAACTTACCGATTTTCCCGTGTCCATACTTCTACTTCTGCTGGTCTGTGTTCTATAAATGATTATAAAGCTCTGACTTGTTTAAAACTCCAGAGGGAGAGTGGAAGATTTTAGTGTATATTCTTTAGTAATTTTGTCTTTTACATGGTATGCAGGGCCAGCTAAAGGGAATACCAAGCACAGAAGTATATTTTTATATTTAATTTATTGATAAAAAATATTGCTTCATACAAGCTGCTAGATAATCTTCAAGAGACAAGAGAAACAACTGCCAAGAATTAGACAAGGCCTGAGCTGGCCCTATTTTGTTGTCTATTATAAATTTATTGTCATGTTCTTGATTCTTAGAGTATGATACTTTCCTTAGAAAAAAATGCATTCCACTGAACAATAGTTTTGTG